GCGTGATATATGCCTTCTCTGAATGAGTGTTGTTTCCTGAGGACATCAGCTAGACGTCCACATGCATATGCTTCAGCCACAGAATCATGCATCGACCTGAGAATATCCCATTCAGTAGTATTATTAGGTTGTCCTGAAAGTCTTTGCCCATTTGTTTTTTTTCAAATCCACTTTTCTTCTTTAGCCCAGTCAGCAATTTACAATCATATGCCCCATCGTAATCGTCAACATATTGCCTTTCAGCAGGTGACTTGTGAATGCCGTTTGCCTAGAAGTCCTGAGCTTTCAGGCAAAAAACTGGAAGAAGTCCGTTTTCGAGTAGTCCGGATCATGAAGCTCTCCCTCTTTTAGTTGAATCAGCAGCAACAGAAGCAGACGGTATTCTGTTGGGGCCAGATCTGCTGAACACAACTGGTGAGACAGAACATCCCATAAGGGGCTTGGAGACTTGCTGGACCATCTTCAAAATCCTTGACGGTCGTTGCTTGGATGAAGTGAACTTTGCAAGTTTTCCAAGCATAGTGCCGGTGGAGCCATCAGTTTGCCCATATTATCGTTCAACAATAGCAGTGCAGTTCGTTGGTAGGAGCTGTCAGTGAACGAATCGCTTGCAGCTTTACCAATTCTGAAAGTTGCCTCTCAAGTTGCAGTGCTGGAATGGACGTCGGAATCTCTGGTTCTACGCGTCTGAGCCAGTGGCGCTCGCGGGTGTGGTTTACTTGAGGAACCCACTCCTTGCTACCACCAACAAAGTAGTCGGGTCAAACAAGATACAGCCGGTAAATCAAAATGTTCATGCAAAATCTGAAGGCTTCTGAGGGCGGTTGTCACCCAGATCACGAAATCCTTTTGCCATAATTTCTCTTCTTTTTGAGGAGCTATTGAGGAATGGCTATTGTGTTCTGATGACTGTGGAAAAGCTGTGTCAGTTACCGTGCATTGCACCAGAGACTGTTTCCAGACACTCGTCACTCAGGGTAACAAGCCGACCGACTTTGGGCTTTTTTCTCGAGTTTCTGGACATCGGCAACCAAATGTTTGCCATGTCGTGAAAGACACTCTGGAGGTCCATCGCAAGACGCAGGGCTTCCACTGACGCGTTTTCTGGGTTTTAGAATCAAGAGTAGCCAAATATGCTTTCAGTCAAAGTCGATTTTCTCAGCCATAATCGCTGCGAAATACCACGGCAGAAATGCTCTGAAGAGATCATTGACTAGGGTTTACATATGTTTTACAATGGATGTTCAAAAATTATCCCTGAAGATTTCACAACATACACATGGAAATGGGCAAAGACTTGAGACAACCTAATATATTACTGTCAACTTATGTTTTCGTATTTTCGGTAGCCTCAAGCTGATTTCCTGCCATGGTCAACCGCAGCAACTCGTTTGTTTGGAATGAGCACAATTTAGGCTTGCAAAACTGATATCCAGTTACTGACAATTGCTCGATGTGAATGGTAGCCATATCGTGCTGGAGCCACTAAAGCCCCATCCCTACTCACATTTTCGGGAGATCAGGAAAATGGGAGACTTTAGTGAAAATATTCGATGCATATTAATCGGTTTGACTGGTGACTCCTTATCCCTATTTTCCATCAGTCTCCAATCAAAACATGCGTATCCAATTTTTTCAGCGGATCAAGATCTTTCGCTTGACCATACTCAATCAATGCATATCTTTTTCATTATCCCCTGATCTCCATTTTCCCCAAGAAGTGGAATTAAAGCATGTTAAAGCCGACGAAATGAACCCCTGGCACGAGAAATATGGAGTGGAAA